CGAGCGGGGTACTGCCCAAGCCGGGACAAACTACAATTTTTCGACTAGAATCCCCACATGTGTGATAGTGCATATATGTGTAAGAGAAGAGGATAGGACAAGGAAGAGAAAGCAAAGATTGCAGTCCTTAGCCCCTTCGTTAGGGTAATGATTCGGAATTGGCCTTGATTTGAGTGAAAGAACCTCGGAAAATTATCGATCAGAGTAGTCGATCACTAATATTATCCAGATTGAATTCGACCCTGTTATTTATGAAGTCAAAAACCCTAGAATGCCTGTACTCGAAATTGAAGTGTTTCCTGGAACCGTTTCTGCAAAGGCAACAAATTATTGTAGTTACCGCTTAGTTTTTGCAATTGGTCTATTTTAGCACTGTTTAGGGAACAAATATTTATGAATGTTTCGAAAAAAATAGACAAATTTGTAAATATATTGCTTCACTTAACTAATAAGATAACGATTTTGAGATATGTTACTCTCGTGCACGGACAAACTCGCCTAAAATCCTTGCCGGCGGTGTTGGTAAACCACCGAAACATCGGTAGTTAGGTGAATGTGTGACGGCGGAGACTAGCACGAGGCAGGTGGAAAGAGATTGTCGCGGGTGGAGAGAGCAGACGGTCGTAGAATTGGTAAGGAAAATATTCAAGTTTAAGGTATGGAAGGATTCGAAAACAAAAGGAATGATGAGAAATGCACGGGCTCGCGGGAAATCTCAAACACCGAGCTCAACTGACCGGTTTGTGGAACGCGCTCGAGTAATTACTGCTGACCGACAAGTAGCTGGTCGGTGACGAGCGCTTCAGTTCAGCACTTTACACAGCCCTTTTTTTATGGGGTCTCTGCAGCATTGTGTGCCCTTGTGGACATATTAAGACAAAATGAAAGCTCTTATTTCTCTATTTTCAGTTTTTAGAACGATTCGTAATATTGCGACATGTCAAGACATGAAGCATTATCGAATAATACGAAAAAAACAATTATAAAATTTCTTTGTTTTGAAGACTCAACTACTTCGAACGATCATCTATATTCTTTAAGTTTCTCTATCTACGGATAAATCTTGTAAATGATTTTATTCTAATAGTTAACGCACCTTTTAATTTCTTGATAAACACAAGTCCACCATTACCAAATTTACCTAGCCCACCATTATCATTAAAAAAGTTCTTGATAAACACAATCAGCATTAAGAAATACGAACTCATTATACTCAACTGCCGAGTCTTAGAATCGATGGTGACGATGGTGATCGCTGATGGCCAACACAACTTCCCCTTCACCTTCGGATCACTGCCGTGTACCCCGTATTGTGTGTCCAGGGATTTATAATAGTGTTGCGGCTGTATGCGACAGTTAAAAATACGCGCCGAGACAACGGCACGAACAGCTTCCCCGAAGTTTGTCTGCGCGCCGGCCAATGGGAAGCGAGCGGACAACGGGCGGAGCGGCAGTCGAGCAGCGAGGCTATGCGGGCGCCGGGAATGAAGCCGGGCACCGCCACCGGAGCAGCAGGCAATGTGTGCGAGACGTCTCGCGTGTCTATGAGAGTCATTGATGTTTTCGGATACTGGTTACAACGTGGTATTGTGTTTGGATACTCTACTGGATCAACTGTGGCCTCTGCATTGTACATCTCTTGGTTTATCGTGATTTTTGGTTTCGTTCTGGATTTTCTACTGTTTGTTAGAAATCTACGTGTGGGCTGAATAAAACAATGTTGCTGCATTGTGTTTTTCCTCGATACAACGAGTAGTGTTACGGAGCGCACGTGAAGAAGTATTGTTTCAATCTGTCGTCGATCGCTCAAAGATGACAGTACTGGTAGAGTTGCTGACCTTCACGTATAGGAAGACGCATAGTCTATAGTCACTCTCGTGCGGCAATACCTGAAAACTTATGTATCTAACGTCCGTCGCGGGCTCTTGAATTTATGACTTTGTGACCATCTCCAACATGGACTCAGCAACTGAGAATTTTTCAATTATCCCATCATATGCACCCAGAGTACCCTATGTGGACCTCGTATTCAAAAATTTGCACAAAGCTATCCATCATATTTACCGTAACATGCATCGATCCCTGACTGCGTAAATATGGTTGAAGTGGGCATTTTGGGGGATTTAATTTCTTTCTGGAGACAGACTTGGTTGTTATTACCATAGATATCTATTCTGGGGATAATATAGCTGTTAAAATCTTGATGATGATAATTTCCAGAGATGGTTCAATATAATTTAGTTTTTATTCGAAAACTGTCATCTCCAAGTTTGTAACATTGAAACATATGTCAAAAACATTAAAGCTGCCCTTCAAAAATGCAGGATCTAGCATTCTATCTTTAATATTTTAAAAATTACTATAAATTTTTTTTTTATTATTTGACGAAACGAGTTGCAGATATATTCTTTCCAACATAAATCACTATTTTCAAAAGTATGTAAAGTTTCTTTTTCCCAAATTCTGTCATAAAATCAAAAATGGCTGTAAGTCAAGCACATTAACCTTTTCACTTCTATTACATGTCGAATTTTCGTAATTATTGATGACGGATATTGATGCTCTCGAGTACAGTGTGGCCACTACCATTCGACAGAAGCAGTAGAACCGTTCGGGCCAGCCCACTCTATCAGTGTCCCTGGTGAGGCGGAGTTTTATTGCATACCCCGCAAGCTTTTGACGTTTGCGGTAAAAAAAAGGGGAATAACTTAAATAGTCTAACTAAACTAACTAAACATATGGAGCATAGGTAGCTGCGGCTTTGACCGGCAACCGTAAGATTTCCTACAAAGGATTATATTTCTCAGTCTCATGATCCTTCCTAACTGTTTTTTCTCACGCCACTCTCTTATACTTGTTTCCTCTGTAACTTATTTACAAGATAGTCACAATATCACACATACTTAAACTAGTTACTCTTTTCTTCATATTGTCTTTTCCGTTCCTATGGCCGCCAGCGCTAATGGAGGAGCGCGTCATTTTGTTACTAATTTCCGCACATTCCATTTGTATAGCGATAGTTTGTTTTAGCGATGATTTTACGCCGATGTCCTTCCTCTCGCCAACCATATAGGACACCCACCACATACACATACACTATGTGGTCAAAAGTATGCGGACACAAGGCTGAAATGACTTGCAGTTCCTGGCGCCCTCCATCGGCATGCTGGAATTCAATAGGGTGTTGGCCCACCTTTAGCCTGATGACAGCTTCCACTCTCGGAGCATGCTTTCAATCAGGTGCTAGAAGGTTTATTGGGGAAGCACCCATTCTTCACGGAGTGTGGCACTGAGGAGATGTACAGTGTTGGTCGGAGAGGCCAAACATCCCAAAGGTGTCCAAAGAGGATTTTACGCTACCCTGACACTCTTTTTAACTACCACTAACTTTGACGGCACCGACTGCTCAAAGCGTCCGTGCGGCCAGCACTATGTGCCCTGGCAGGTAATTAGCGGCTCATAGATCGAACGCGATTCCACTTCTGACAGCTACATTTGACGTCATTGTAAATGTTGGTTTGGTGTTACGTTGTGAAAGATCAAAGCAGTAATTTGACTATTTAGAAAATGTGATCTTCCCGCACCATTGAAAATCAATCTGAATTCAATCTTTTTGATATTGGAATGATACTGGCATCCGTAATATTAAACCAGAAAAATTCAGTCCAACACACTCAAAGGAAATTGAAACATTTTTCAATATTGTTGTGATATCCAGCTTAAAGCTGTAAACAGTCTGCATGCCGCGCGAGCCGCAATGGATTACGAAAAACTACGATCGTTTGCCTAAGCCTGTTCTACACGTGCACTTTCCGCTCTTGTTGTGAGCCCCAACAGTTGCTACAGTAGCGCGTATAGGCAGTCACGAGAGAGAGTATTTATTGTTCCCGGGCGCATCAACTACATAAGGAATTGGCTAATTATTGTTTTAAAAGAAAATTTTAAAATTATTCAGAGAGAATAAGATAGCCTTTCTTAATGTTTTTTAGAATTGGGTTGAAGATCATTTTTTTAGGTAGACATTCATTCACATAATAAATTTTTATTTAAAATCATACAGACCTACGTTTCGAAGGTCATTGGCCTTTATCTCCAGGGTCCAATAAATATAAGTGAATACAATATTAATGAAACAACTTTTCAAGCTCTAAATGACATTGTTTAAATGCACGACATACATTGAAGAAAAATGCCAATAACATTCGAAATGTAGGTCTAAAGATTGTATGATTTTAAATTAAAATGTATTATGTGAATGAAAGTCTGCCTAAAAAAGGACCTTCAAACAATCGTATAAAATTGACTCATTACTCTCGGACGGGTAGTGCGGATTGGAGAGGGTGCTCCTACCACGCTGGAAAGTGAGGTTCGATGCCGATCTACACGCTGTCGCGCGAGGGTTTCCCATCCAGGTATCTTCTTCAGGGGGTCATCGACCCAGCGCGGATAAGCTCTAACCTTATAACTGGTCTCCCTACTTGCAAGTGTAAGAGCGTGTGTAAGAGGAAGAGGATGAGAAAGGAAAGATCTAGAGTGTTCCGTGGCCCATTTGTAGGGTTATGCTATGTCATTCTCCTGACATTGATCGGAGAAATCACGGAAACTACTGATCACAGCAGGCGTCTGATAGGTCTCTTCCAGATAATGATTGTATTCGATCCAGTTTAGTAGCTAGAGTGAGAAGTCCACCAATATCCAAACTTGTACTGTCCTGGAGGTTCTAGATTTGAGTCTCTACGGTGGCAGAATTTTCGACATAATCTTGTCTGCTAGGTAGAACTCAACCGTTACCTGGAGGAGAGTTCTAGCGGACGGCTGCTCAGAGCAGCAGTTTGCCGAGTTTTCTCCGACCAACCCCAGGCGAATGAAGGTGCAGCACCTTAACAAACGAGCCACTGATCGCGCGTGATCATTCCTTCGTTTTCCGTGTACCATTCTCACCCTTTACTTACACGCACTACACTACCACACATGCCGGGAAACCGGGGTATTCCCCGGCCAGGTATCTCCCTCCAACGAGAACTGCCACAACCAGGACTAGCACTTCGTTTTCGACTTATGTAGAAGTGTAGGGAGTGTAGTTAATGTAAGTGTATGTGCGTAAGTAAAAGACGAGGAAATGACAAGGAAGAGAATAGAAAGATTGCGAGCGGTCCGTGAACTATTTGTTAAAGTCCTACTCCAGTATTCGACTAGTACTGATAAGAGAAACCACAAAAAACTGCCGATCACACCAGCCGATCACTAGAATTCTCTTCTAGACAGTAGCTAAATTCGACCCATCTGCCCAGCCAGTGTCGATAATCCTGCCATCGTGGGCACTCGAACTAAAAGACTTTCCGGGCAGCACTGCAGTCAGTTGTCCTGAGCCACGTAAGTCGGCCAAAGCAATTGATTATTCTCTAATTTAAATAAAGTGAATTCTGAAGTATCAGCTGGACACAGTATTCAATAAGGGGCGAACATTCCAACAATTATATAACGAAGCTACCGGTAGAAAAACCGCGTTTAGCTGATCAAATATCAATTTAAACCAAAGTAGATGTAGCGTCTGCAATCTCTACAGTTCGTTTGTAGTGCTCTCTTTTCGTTACATACTTTAGCCTATGTTCTGTCCTCTATATCTAGTTCTTAAAATATAACATAATATTTAAAAGGACTTCAACTTTTCGTATAGCTTGTAAAGAAAACATGTAACACAAATGTTTGCTGCCGTTGAGAAGAACCAAACACAGATGAGTCAAGGAGCTTACCTTTTATATCTTTCATGCCAACTTCATTTGTTGCAGAACATTCATCATTTTGAATGAATGAATGAATGAATGATTATAGGTGAATTTGGAAAATTATTTTACAATAAAGTTTTCAGATTCGTCTTTTTCTTTAACTGAACTATTGCTGAACAATGAATTGACTTTACCAATTTTATCAACAATCAAAACTGCACTATTGTTTCTGCTGGTGGTTCAGACGTTTTGTTGTTTCCTTTGCTTCATGACAGTTCCATATCATCCTGAAACCAATTGAATTAAATTTAATACTATATTTACGGCCTTACGGACGTCCCTAGGTATATCAACAGTCACTGTTTCTAGGTAAAACAATCTGCAATCATGAACGAACATGGTTACTGTTAGTTTCTAGGTTACCTCCGAGAAAGAAGTATATGTCTTCAATTAACTACATTCTATGATAGTAAGAGTAAGTCTACTTCAATTTTCGTAAAGCAATAGTTGTTATTACAATTTTTTTTGATAAATACCAACAATCCAATTAATGTTATTACAAAATTGATGAAAGAAAAATACAGAATTTCTTTACTCGCCAAATCTATTACTCTCATAAACTCACGGAAAGAGTAATTGACTTGAATAATAACAAATGGCAGTAGCAATGCACAAAAAATTAAAATCCGAAATTTCTCTCAAAGACTTATCTAAAACATGCAAGTGTCACATTATTGCTCTTTTCAAATGTATTAGTTAATTAGGAATTGCTCTTCAATTGGACTTATTGCCTCCTTTCCCATCTCGTAGTTTATATTGGATATACAAATCTGAGGGGTGCACGCCCTTCAACAAAAAATTACACCTTATTTATTATAGGAGTTGTACAGTTCTTTTCACCAGTAGGTTT